ACAAAGTGACTATAATTCAAATGAATAACAACCTTTCTAAAGTTAATCATGGTATACATGTTATAAGATACCTAAGGTTGATTGAAAAATAAATATGTTAAGCATAGGAACTAGTTGTCACACTCCACTTTCATCCCAAACGATCTTACAACGTTCCCTTAATAATCTCATATCTCCCCTTAGTGAGCATCTCATAGATTCCGCGAAGGAACCGGAAAAAAGATTAAATTTTTGGGCTACTCGACATCTTGATTTCGCATCCCCTTTCCTTAGGCTATAACCCATGATTCCCTCTACCTATGAGTGACTCAACCCCTAGGTCAAAAGGTCTTCCCAAAGTTTGTAACGTAAGGCAAAAAGGGTAAAGGTAGGCTAAATTTAAACTTTGGTGGTTAACCTAAATTGTGAAGCAAAGATTGCGCATTTGTTTACACCATAACCAAGCAATCACCAAACAAAAATACCAAACCCCCAAGCTTATTCAAAGCTAAGATCACAAACATATACACAAAAAGCATAAGAACACTCCCCCCCCCCAAGCTTAAATGGAGGATTGTCTTCAATGCTCAAAAAGGATGAGTACTCACCATTGCTTCACAAAAACCAAAAATGAAAATGAAAATGAAACAAAAGGTTCAAGATCTAAAGATGTGGCTTGAAAAGAAGGGAAAAAGGCTCAAAGGGCTAGCAAGTAGGCAAATGTATCCCAAAAACCAAAAGTAAAAAGGACACTATCCTAGAAAAAGGAAAAATACCTCCCCAAAAAGATGCCTTTGTCCTCCCTAGGTGGTTCGGTCTCGGTCTTAGGAATCATATGTTAAGATTCTAGATTAGGTTTGCGAAAGTCAAGGATCCACGCCGCTCATGCAAGAATGTGTTGAAAGCTCGAAAAAGTATGAATCTCACATGGTTGTAGAAAAAACTCACTAAGGTTGTCAAATTGAAGATAGGGAGCAACTACCAAACAAGCCAAAAACAAGTAGAATTCGGCTTCATGATCCCCCTAGTTCTAAGCATGCTTTATCCTAGAATCAACCAAACGTATTCTCAAACTATGCATACCATTACCACCTAGCAAGATTATTATTCAAAAGCAAGAGTCTATTGTTTACAAGTCCAATTCAAAATAGAAAGAGTGAAAAATAAAGCCTCCAAAAAGCTATGTACAAAATAAAGAACAAAAAGAAAAGAAAAGAAAAGAGAATAAAAGTTGGAAAGCAAAGATAAAGGAAAAGTAGGAAAACAAATAAAGGACAAAGATGCAATCATAACACGTATTTCCCAATCGACATACAAGCGGTCAAATGGCCACATCGCCAAAGACCCCAAACACACTAGGTGTTATAATCATACATCCTCGAACCATTCAACTCCCCTAAAACTAACCCTAATCTAAGAAACCAAGAAAAGTAAAGGAATAAAAGTAAAAAGATAAAACAAGAAAGGTCTCACCAAGCGTCTAAGCTATGCTACAATAACCATGGGGCAAGAACGACCTCCTTCAAGAAGCTTCAAAGACTAAAGCAAAAGCTACGAGCAAGGTGAGAAAAAGAAAAGGACTATATACAAAATGAAATTTTTAGTAACTTCCAAACAAAAGCAAACAAAAGAAAGCTTACTTGAAAACTATGTACAAAAACCTAAAGAAACCATCATCATCATCATGATCAAAAGAAATCTCAAAACATCATCATCAAAATCAAGACAACAAGACAAACATCATACTAACTAGACCACCAAGAGCGAAGCAAGAAAAATCCACCAAAGCCTTTTCAAACACATCCCCATGAGTCCAAGGTGCCTCCCCCAAAACCTACCCTAAAACATCCTTTTTTATTCTCCCCCTTCACAAAATAAGGACATCAACCGCGATGCTCAAGAACATGCAAAGCTAAAAAGGAAGGAAACAAAAAGGGAATCAAACAACCAAGGGGGAACTATTAGCCACTAGGGCCGACACCACCATCAGCCACATCCCAACCTCCGGTAAAACCGGGAGGGAACCCATAACGACCCTTGAAAAGGTCAAGTTGGGATGTGGACAATTGATCAAATGGCTCGGGCTGCATACAGAGGTCGGGGTGAGTGGGATGAACATAGTAGTAGTCAGGGTCACCCCGATAATCACTCCTCCCCGAAACCCGGTAGTCATAATGACCGGAATCATCTGGGAAGTCGCGCCTTGGCTCATCGGGGTGTGTAACCCCGGGTCAATAGGGGTACGTGGAGAGGTTGTCACCACCCCAAGATGGCACAGGCCCTTGTTGGGGCGGCACATATGGGTAGTTCACCGGAGGAGTGACCTCCCCCCTACGCAAACTAGCGTCATATAGGGCGCTAGTTTGAAAAGACAAAGTTTGATGGTTGGAATACAAACCTTGCATGCTCAATTGCATGCGCTCCATATGCTCTCGCATAGCCTCCATCTCACGGAGATAGGCATCTCCTTGGTACTCATGTTGTTGATGTTGTTGTCTTCTTCTTCTTCTTTGTTGTTGTTGTTGTTGTTGTTCATGTTGAAATTGTTGTTGTTGTTGTTCATGTTCTTCTTCTTCTTCTCCTCCTTCTCCACCTTCTCCACCCTCATCATCGTCCTCATCATTGTCACCATCATTCACATCATCATCATCCTCCTCCATATCATCCTCAACTCTCCCATTGTCCATAGGAATCCTCCAAACAATCCTAGCATCTCGAATAGCTGAGGTGGCGGTCGGGTTTGGGAGTAAACAATGGTGCACATTACGCACTACCCAAAAATAAACACCGTCTCTCTTAGTTTTAGTAATGAAGCGCAAAGTGTTAAGTTGCTTCAAATCTAGATACATGTCTTCACTCCCTCCAAGCGGAGTGCAAGACTTCAAGAAACTTTCTTCCTTAAAATGATACACCAATCTCGTAACCATACCTCCACAATGTATCTCACCCGTTTTCTTCCCATTAATGATTTCCTTGCAACAATCCATAAAAATGTACCCAAAATTCAACCTCGGCCCCAAATTCGGCCTTGTAGCAATCCAAAGAACTAAGATCTCCTCCCTCCAAAGCTTCCCAAGATCTTGCTTATTAAACACGGCATAGCCAAGAACCCGATGAAGAATTCTAAGAGCTGGGTGAATGATCTAACTAGAAAGCAAATTTTTAGAGTCAAACACCTTCTTTTGAGCAATTTGTCTCCACCATGAAAACTCATTGTAATCGGACTTGAGAAGGGAAACCAAGGACACATAGATGTTGGCATTGGAATGAAGCCAAGGGCTTTATTGAATTCGGTAAGGTTCATGGTATGCTTGGCATTGAATAGTTGGAAAGAGATGATATAGTCGGTATCCCCCGCCATATTATACTCAAAAGTAGAGAAAAACTCAATGCACGGTTCCAAATAGGTTCTTGGAGATGACTTTACAAACTCATCCAAACAAAGGTTACGGAGTAGGATGTCAAGATCGGCATCAACTCCTAATGTGACCATATCATCGGGAAGATAGTTGCGGGTAGGTCTAAATTTTTGGGTTTTCATTTTGTTATAGATTGGGACATGTTTAGACCGATTGTGAAATTTGAGAGGAGGTAAAGGAGGAGGTGGGGAATCATCTTGAGGAGTTTGGTTGTGAGGAGGTTCGGTGTTTGAAGTTGGCCTTGAGAGGATTAGCCTTGGGAGGATTGGTCGGGGGATTGGTTAGAACGTTTCTTGCTACTCTTAACCTTCCTTAACAAATCCATAGTCACAAGTGCAACCAACACCAGAAACTACACAATCACTCAAAATCAACACCAACACTACCACCAATTTTTCAAACCACCTTCACAATACCACCCAAAACCACCACAAACTACAAAATACATGTTATAAGCAACAAAACAACCAAAAATCCAAACAACAACCAACAACATTAACAATCCATCTCAAAAATAAGCATAAATCACTCAAAACAATTCTAAAACCACCATACTAACAACCATAAACATCATAGTCATGCTTAATCAAGGCAAACCAAAACCATTATATAATAATCAATTGAAATTGACAAAAATAAAACAAAGGTTAGAAGTATACCAAGATTAAAGACTGAAACAAAGCTTTGAATTGCTTCAAGGACTCAAATTTCCCAAAAAACCATGAGAAAAGAGACTTAATGTTGATGAAAATGGAATAAAATAGAAAATGTGATGGAAATTTGAGTGGATTGTGCGAATTTGTGTGAGAATGATGATTTGGGGGTTAGGGTTTGAGAGGAGGAAGAGAGAGAAAGGGGTAAATCAAAAGGAGATTGAAAAATAAGAGAGGAGAGATAGAGAGGAGCAAACCGGCCTACTATGTAACCCAGGTGGTCGCGCCCTCTCCCGCATCTGCCGCGCCCGCGAAGAGACCGCGGGGAAATCGCGCGCCTAATCTGGAAAACAAAATTGATTTTTACCTTTAACTGGGGTCGCGCCCTCTCCATGATTGTCGCGCTCGCGGGGCAACCGCGGAGAGTTCCTCATCTTTTTTTGACAAAAATAAGCCGCGCCCTCTCCAAAGTTGTCGCACCCGCGGGGCAACCGCGGAGAGCTCCTGATCGGCTTTGCCCTTTTTTGAAGCAAGGGCACCTGAGGCCTCTCCAAGCCCGCGGGGTGCCCTCTCCTCTGCACTCCAAATTCTCCTTTTGCCATCTTCATCAAACACAGTCCATAGTTGATGAATGAAGGTAGCCTACAAAAGAAACTAAAAACAAAAGGAAGTAAGAACAAAAATCAACAAATAAAAATAAAAGAAAAGAAAGAAAAGAGAATCACTAGTAGAAAAAATGTTATTTGTAATGCCCTATTAGTAACTGGCATAGATTATCTTGGTTACATTTAGCATATTAGTAACTGACATAGATTATGTGGGTTACAAATAAACTAGTATTAGTAACTGGCATAAACAAGGTAAGTTATAAATAGTCGGACAATGATAGACTGACCAACTATTAGTAAGGGGCATAAAAAAGGTCGGTTGCAAATAATAAGTCAAATTTTATTGACCTTATTAATTATAACGGGCTTTATTAAGGTTAGTTACGAATGTAGCCCAGTAGCACATACAACTCAAAATGCTCGCTCTCATATTTCTGCGGCTCTTTACTTGTTAGTTCCTTTTGTTTCACTATTATACTTTACCCCCATTTTTTCACATGAATCCAGCTTGAACATTTCTCTCTCCTCTAAAACTGCTGTAAACTCCTCCAAAAATCCTCTAAAGCTCCTCCAAAACTCAATCATCAAGAATATCGTCATGGTATGCTATCGATCTCCACCCAATTTATGTATTTTTAATTAATTATAAGCGATTATTTGATAAAATGACTAAAAAGAATTCTGGGGTTTGTTCTTTTGTTTGTTGATATAATTCAATTCAAAATTTGGGGTTTTGAATAGGCTCTTTCACTCCTCTATTTGGTTGATTTTGTTTCCTACTTTGCAATTCTGGTTTTTTAACCCTTTGTTTGAATTCTGATTTCTCAATTTTGGGTTCTTAAAAGAAAAAAAAAAAGCCTGATTTGTATAAGTTTATAATGTATTGATGTTATTACTTTGATTCGCTTTCGGGTTTTTGTAAGAGTCCGCGAGAAGGTTTCGCAACTAATCAGCTTGAACGTTTTTCCAATTTGAGCTCTAAACGTAAACTATTGACAAAAATGGTTGCGTGGAAAAACTATTTACCAAACTAAGCTTCCAGGGTAAATCGCTGTCTCGGACAGCGTTTTACCCCTGGTTTTTTTTTTTAAAAAAATTCAATCGGTAAACGCTGTCCCAGACAGCGTTTTACCTTCTGTATTTTTTTAAATTCAGTAGGGCATAAAACGCTGTCTCGGACAGCGTTTTATACTTGGGTTTTTTTTAAAAAAAAATCAATGGGTAAAACGCTGTCCGGGACAGCGTTTTATGCCCTGTTTTTTTTTTAAATGAAACGTTGTCCGGGACAGCGTTTCATGGCCATATATCAGCATGTTCACTTCAGCAGAATGCGCAAGAACTCAACCTCAACCTCAACGCTTTCCCTCCTCCCTCTCACACTAAACCACGACCGTACTCAAACACCCGCATTGCCGCCGCCGCCCACCCTTGCGCCACCGCTGCTGCCGCCACCTTGCTGCTGCCCTCCTCCCTCTCACACTCACTCACTCAATTTCGTGGTTAGCCCTAAACTGAATTTAGTGTAATTGCATAGTTATTGTTGTTAATTATTGTGAATTGTATGTAATTGCTCTTACTTGTTGTTAATTCATGTCAATTGCATGTAATTGTTGCTAATTATTAATGAAAATGTGGTACATTGTTGATAATTATTGATGGTGATGTGGTACATTGTTATTGAAATTGTTCATGACATTGGTGAAGTTGATGATGGTGAAAATGTTGAAGTTGTTAATGGTTGAAATTGTTGAAATAATTCAAATTGTTCATGAAATTGTTGAAATTGGTGAAGTTGTTGAAAGTGAAGTTGTTATAGGTGAGAAGAGTCTTATTTCAGTGTTGATAATTTACCTCGCTCTAGATTTCGATAATCCTAAAATGTGTTTTGGTTATGTAGAATATGGCGTCACAAAATGTAGTTTTGTTATGCCGGTGGGGAGGAGAAATTCTGTTTGATGGACCCCGGGTCAAGTATAGTGGGGGAAATATGGAACCACTAACACTAGAACCGAACATGACTATGAATGATTTGATGAATGAGGTTCATAGTAGTATTGGTTCAGACCCGATGACCGTTGACGTACACATTAAAATGAGGTTTGAGACCGGCAATGGGGTTCAAGTGTTACCGGTTTCTACGAATAAGCATGTGACAGCTCTAAGGAACGTTGTTGCAATGAAGGGTGTTCCCACTGAAATATATGTGGAAACGGTGCCTATATGTACCCAACAAGGTACTCGGCCAGAACAACAATCTACACGTATTTCTGGGTACAACACAGAGCCCTTTCAAGTGCCGTCACACGACATTCCATCAACTGAATATGGGATGGGATCTTTCAGTCGAATGCTGCACGACGATCAATTTGACATGCCATTTAGTTCTCAGCATGCGCCGAATCATCTTGAAGATATTGTGAATAACGAACTTTCTGTGTATGATGTGTACACAAATGATGAGGCCGATAGCGGAGAGGAGGAAGATGGACTTCAGAACATGGATGTAGAACCTGCTCGGATGGAAGTGGGCGAGCCCCTGGTTAGAACTCCCATTCCTTGGTTCAGTCAGGTGAACGAGAACTACGAAGTTGATCAGGATTGGGCCGAATCGGGTAGTCATACGTCGTTTGTTCCGGGGGGGGAATTTGAGAAGGGGATGTGGTTCGAAAGTAAGAAAGTGCTCCAAGAAATGGTGAAGATGTATTTCATACAGAGGAATCAGTTCTACACCACAATTACATCGAATGAGAGTGTGCTTCATTTGCGGTGCAAGAAAAAATGTGGTTGGATGCTACGGGGTACCAAATCTAGTAAGCACTCGCGTGGCTTCGCCCTAGTCACATACAAAGGCCCGCACCGGGAGAACTGTGTCACGGAAGTATTGTCCACTGATCACCCGCATTTGGATTCGTCGTTAATATCAGATTTTGTGAAGTCCTTTGTTCGGAAAGATCCGTCTTTGAAAGTTGAATTCATACAAGAACTCATCTCCAAGCAATTTCATTTCGATGTCCCGTACCGGAGGGCATGGTATGCAAAGGGGAAAGCAATAGCTGATATTTACGGTGATTGGGAGAGTTCTTACGGCAGACTTCCGCACTTCATGCAAGCCCTCCAACAGTCAAACCCGGGAACGTGTGTTGTGTGGAAGTACAAAGCGTTGGTTGACGGTGTTTACTACAGCAACATGGAAGTGTTTGAAAGAGTGTTTTGGGCGTTTGGCCCTTGTATCGACGGTTTTAAACATTGTATGTCAGTTATCTGTATCGATGGGACGCACTTGTACGGGAAGTACAAAGGAACACTGTTGGTTGCTACAAGTGTTGATGCAAACTTCCAAGTATTTCCTCTAGCATTTGCGTTGGTTGAGGGGGAAAACACCTCCAGCTGGTCTTGGTTCCTGGGTTGCATTCGGGTTCATGTCACTCAACGAGTTGACCCGGTGCTGCAATCGGAGGCATACACGAGCACATACGCGCCGCAATTCTGGCCAATCCCTTGCGAGACAACCTGGACGCCCTATAACGGTCCCAGAATCATTCCCGACGGGAGCATGTTGCGTGGAATAGGGCGACCAAGGTCAAAGCGCATACGTAATGAAATGGATGAGACCCTCAGAGGACCCATGACTGTTAACTGAAATTCGTTGTAATCGTAGATGGAGGAATTATTTTGTAATAGAAAATTTTGATTTAATAACATTTGGAACATTTTGATTTAATAACATTTGGAACATTTGATCGTTAACATTTTGGTTAATTGCTAATGCGTTAACTCTGTTGGGATTTGTTAAATTGCATGTGAACATATACGATGGACGGTAGGGCTGTGGAGCTGGCTGTTGGAGGACTGCAGCATGCAAGCTGTTTGCTGAAGCTTGTTTTCTGCCTGGATGCTGGTTGCTGTTTCCAGCAGAAAAGCGCTGTCTGAGACAGCGCTTTATGTTGAACATATAAAATAGTTGTAGTTGAATTTTTTTTTTAAAAAAAACCCAAGTATAAAACGCTGTCCGAGACAGCGTTTTATGCCCTACTGAATTTAAAAAAATACAGAAGGTAAAACGCTGTCTAGGACAGCGTTTACCAGTTGAATTTTTTTTAAAAAAAAAACCAGGGGTAAAACCTGGAAGCTTAGTTTGGTAAATAGTTTTTCCACGCAACCATTTTTGTCAATAGTTTACGTTTAGAGCTCAAATTGGAAAAACGTTCAATCAGCTTCCTGTGTAGCCAAATCCAACGTATTCTCTCTGTTTTACTTTATTAGTTATTTGTTTGTCAATGAACTGTGACATTTTTTTGCAAAATCCAGCCAATATATTATCTTCGGCATCAATTGCCGCCAGCTGAATAATTCCGTACGTTTTTGTTTCTTAATTCAGTTTGTTAATTTCTGTTTATTATCATTTTGTTTCCTATTAATTCTCAGTTTTGATGTTGCAATGTTGTAAAATGCTGAATTTGATCTTGTTTCCAGCTTATGATATGCAATGTAGAAATATGTTTTGTAATTTTTTTCGATTTTGTCAAATTTAATTGTAATTGTTTGAATTGTTTGTGTTTTTTTTTTTACAATGCTAAGTTGCTAACCCCTCACTAATGACGAAGATTGGCCTTGATGTTTATTTCGTGAAGCTCTTGCCAAACTTTCACTAAAAATGTTTCTCTCTCCTCTTCTCTTTGTTTCTTGCTTTTATTTTATTTTATTTCAATCTCATTTTCTTATGGTAGGTTTTCGGTTTTGATGATACATTATCGAGCAGGAAATATTTCAACTCTAGAAGTAAGCTTTGATCCTTTATTTTTGTTTATTTTTTTTTCTATTGAACTTAGCTTAATTAATTGCATTTTAAATCATAATTCAAGTTACCTTTGTGAGGCTTATACTTCGCACGAAGTATAATGATGTGAGGTTATATATGTGTGCAGTATACTTCCTAGTACCAAGCTTATAAGATGCTTGTTAAGAAAATCCTGAATTTAGCATTTTATTGAAGTTTTGAGACTTTTATCTATAGGTTGTCAGTAAATCATGCCTCTCAAGTTATTTTATGGCTTCAAGATTATATAACGCTTTTGAGTTGTCTTAAAATTTTGGTTAATGTGCTTATCATGCTTTTGTTGATTATTATTTTTTGTTTAGGCTCACTTTGTCCTTATTGTTGTCTCATTGTGCATGTAATTTTTATTAGCAGTACATATAAGATGGTTTTATATGTTGCATGTTGGCAATATTTGACATGTAAGTGGCTAGATGTGGTTGGTAAACCAGGTGTATAATAGACAGATTGAGAATTCCAGTCCAATGAATAGATAATAGGTTTGCATTTGATCAGCTTAGTAGAAAGGAGAGGTTAAAGGAGAATCTTAGTTGTATTGACTTTATAGATTTCATTTTTTAGTATGATAATTAGTTGTTGAACATGAAGGTTAATTATGAAATTTATTGTTTTGTAGCATAAAAAGCATAATGGAACGGTTAAAAATGACTTTATGAAGATTATGTTATATAAGGACTAAGGAGATGGTCTGGGATTGATGTGTTTGTGGATCCACCTTAAAGCTAAGGTTAGGGTTAATCTAATTCCCTCTCCCATCCACTATCAACAAAAACTTGAGATAGCTAAAGCTAGGGTTTCAACTCCTCTCTCTAATCTTGTTAATGATTTTTGATGTGCGAGAAATAGCAGAGCTTTATTCAAGCAAATGCAAAGAAGCTGAACCTAGTGAAGATAAAGTATCTGAAATGGCTCTGGACTCTGCATAGAATAGGTAATGGAATTTATTTTTTGGAAAAATTTTCACTTTCACTTTTTCTTTAAAGTGCTTATTCATGCTTTCTTAATGTGTTTTGATCACTGGAGCATATTTGTTCACAGTGATAGATGTGGTGAGAACTAATAGTCATCTTGAATTCTACGAGGATCAAAAAGATTTGGCTAGGATGTTCGATATTCTTGCTATTTACGCATGGGTTGATCCTGAGACTGGATATTGCCAAGGTTATGGGCTTTCCTCAGTGTTTGTGTTGATGCTCATTTTTCTGACCTTTTGTTGAGAAATGTAAAGATGTGTTATGGTTCATATTTTATATAAAGATGTTTGATGTTTATTTTGATGTATGTTGTTTGTACAGGAATGAGTGATTTACTGTCTCCATTTATCGTTCTTTTTAAAAATGACGCGGATGCATTTTGGTGCTTTGAGATGCTTCTTTGACGAACAGTTTGACTTTTTTCTTTGTTCTCATTTGGATAATAAATTGGCTTATATTTTGTCTAATATGTTTTTACTGTATGGCTCTACCTATTCAGAGAAAAAAATTTTAAATGGAAGGACAAACTAGAGTTATGAAGTAGTTTGAAACACTTTGGCAAATATTAAAACTGACTGACAGAGAAATGTTCTCACACTTAACTCACATAGGTGCGGAAAGCCTTTATTTTGCCTTCCGTATGCTGCTGGTGCTTTTCTGAAGAGAATTATCTTTTACCGAAGCCCTTTGTATGTGGGAGGTTTGTTCTCTTAATTTCCTGAAAATCACCCTTGCTGGTACATAATTGTTTTTTATCCATGAAATTAAGAATTTCCAGGAGACTCAAGCTATAAAAAAAATATAAAATTGATGTTTTAAGTTTATTTACTAGTAATATGAGAACAAATAGTAGTTTTGAACAATTAATGTCAAAATTTTCTCTCTCAGTTGAACCGAATGACTCCTATTTCACTCATTAATGCAGATAATTTGAAGTTAATAAGATGACCTCAAGCATGTATTTACACTGTCAATGAATGATCTTAGCCATAATGCTAAGTTGGTTGATGATGATAGTTGATTTGGTTTATGTGTGTTGGTTTTTATTGTTGAATTAGTAAGTGTTCAGAATAATAGATCAAAGAGCTTTATATGCTTATATATGTGCATATGGAACGACTAAATAAATGTCAATTATTTAAGTATCTCTCCCTAGTATTGTATGATTTATCACTGACAGGAGCTGAGTCATTGTGGCTTAACTGTTTTCTACGGTCCAATAAGTAAGAAATTTAGCTATTGCTACTAAGAGTCAGGATTTTAAGACTATAAGACTATCATAAATTATTTTAAACTGCAATGATAGGTATTATCGGGAAGGGATACTCCTTACAAAATGTGGCAACCTTCGGTTTTTCAAATTTTGGGATGAACTAAGAAATGACAAGGTACCTTTTTAGAAATTTGACATAGGAAAATGAAAAGATTATGAGAGCCCACAATATTTCGGAGATAAGTTTTGTTAGCGATTAGGAATTGTCTTTTTTTAAAATCCATAATTTGGTGTCAAAAAATCAAGTGATGATAGGAGATCCATTCTGAAGTCATACAATGTTATTCACTTATTTGGAGCCAAATATAACCATTGCCTAATCACATAATGTCCCGTGGTGACCTTGAGTTAATGAAAAGAGCCCTGTACATAACTAGCTAAATTGACAGTTTAAACTTTAAAGGGAAAGTGCATGGTTCTAACTACCCAAGTGGTTTCCTAGGAGTCTCATAGGGTCCATGGGAAGCACTTTGACTGCAGAATTTGTTACTTATCAATGACAAAGTGCGTGTGGCTTGAACTGCAGTGATTGATTTGCTTCTAGAGTGTGCTATTGCCAGTAGACTGTCATGATAGAAAAACTGACCTCTAGAATATGCAATCAACTCTTTAACATGTGTTTAGTTGCAACTTGCAAGTCAATTTTCTCCTAATGTTGTTTAATGTCCTTTTAATTTTGATGGAGTTGAATGTATCTTGGCTAAGGTGTTAGGAAGGTTATAAAATATATGAAATCTTTTAATTTCTTTCCCATGCAGAATTCTGTTGCAATATCAAGTGCTCAATGTGAACTGCATGCTGCTATCCCATACAGAACAGTCAAATTTGTGAAGCAGACAAAATCGTCAAAATTTGAAGGTTGACCATTGTATCAATCAACTAACTAGCTTATTTTTGTTTTTTTTAGTTATAGAGTATTATTTATTGTGAATTGTGAGAGAAATATTTGTAATTTACAAGTACATCAATTCAATATAATTTACAAGATGTCGCTTGAAGTTGGTCTTATATTGGTTAGATTGATAGTTATTGTATTTTATAAAAGTTTATTAACAATTAATGGTCTTTACATTAAAAAAAATATAAATGTAGTGTACGGATGGTGGCAATAGAGGAATTTGCTAATGCTACCATATTTTAATTTTATTTTTTTAATAATAAAAGCACTATTCGTAACTGGCGTTAGGCTATGCTAGCTACAAATAATACTTTATTTGTAACCGGCATAACTTAACGCCAGTTACAAATAATATGCTTTCTAACTTGGAAAACAGCTTATTTGTAACTGCCGTTAGGTTAAGCTAGTTACGAATAGTACATTATTTGTAACTAACATTAGCCGGTTACGAATAATTTTCACTAGTTGTAACAGTGGCATTCGCAACCAACAATGCCAGTTATAAAAAGTCAATTTTGCCAGTTACAAATAGCATTTTTTCTACTAGTGAATAGACGTGAGAAACCGGGTTGCCTCCCGTAAGCACTTTTGTTTAACGTTGTTAGCTCGACGTTTACCACCCATTCAAGGTGGCTTGAATAGAATCATTTTATGACTAAGACCAACGAACACTCCATCAAAATATTTCTTGAGCCGATGACCATTAACCTTGAAAGAAGATAAGGAATCCAAAGGAGAAATCTCCACGGCACCATTACCAAAAATTCTTTCACCAAGAAAGGGCCACTCCATCTTGACATGAGCTTTCCGGGAAACAACGTCATTCTTGAATTGTAGAGGAGGACTTTATCACCAACACAAAACTCTTTCTTCTCAATAAGCTTATCGTGAGCTTCCTTGGAACGAGCTTTGTAGGTGCTAGCACAATTGTAAGCATCAAGTCTAAGCTCCTCTAGCTCATGAAGATCCAACCACCTTTTCTCCCCCGCACTTTCTAAATCAAAATTTATCTTCTTGATTTCCCACAAAGCACGGTGTTCAAGCTCTACCGGGAGATGACATGATTTGCCATAGACAAGGCGATATGGAGTGGTGCCAATAGGTGTCTTGAAAGTCGTTTTATAGGCCCAAAGAGCATCATGCAACTTGTCCGACCAATCTTTTCTATTCCTTGCAACCGTCTTCTCAAGAATAAGCTTTATTTGATGATTGGAGACCTCGACTTGGCCACTCGTTTGAGTATGATATGGAAGGCCAAAGCGTTGATGAACTCCATGTTTTCTCAACATCTTTTGAAAGGCATTGTGAACAAAATGAGAACCATTATCGCTTATCACCTCCTTAGGCACACCAAACCTTGGGAAGATGATTTTTTTGAACAACTTCAACACTACTTTGTGGTCATTTGTTGGGGAAGCAATGGCCTCAACCCACTTAGAAACATAGTCCACCACCACAAGTATGAATTGATTCCCATATGAAGATGGGAATGGTCCCATGAAGTCAATCCCTCATACATCGAACACCTCCAACTCAAGAATAGGTTGTTGAGGCATCTCATTCCGCTTGGAGATATTCCCAACTCTTTGATATCAGTCACATGACTTGACAAAGCCCCATGAATCCTTAAAGAGATGTGGCCACCATAAACAATTTTGAAGAACCTTAGTAGCGGTTTTGGAAACACCCATATGGCCACCACTAGGATCCGAATGGCACATCTTTAGAACACTAGGCACCTCTTCATTCGGAAAACAACACCTAAGCAAGCCATCAACCCCTCGTTTATACAAGATGGGATCATCCCACAAGTAATTTCTTGCCTCCCTCTTGAGTTTCTTTCGTTTGTTCTTGGAGAAAGAAGGTGAAAACTCCCCATATGCTAGAAATTTAACCAAATCGGCATACCATGGGAGTTCCTTTACCTTAATGGCATACAAGACATCATCAAGCATTCTATCTTCAATTGGTGAACCATCATCATGAATTTGATCACCCTCAAGGCGAGAAAGATGGTCTGCCACAACATTTTCCGCACCTGATCGGTGGACAATAGGTCGTTAGTTTATTATCCTAGATCAAAATTACAATTTATAACTCCTATCCTAGCTCTATCAAATTTTGCTTTAGATAGCGGTAAGGTAGGGTCGATTCCCAAGGAAACGGGGGTTTAACACAATTAATACAAAATCGAGGAGAAATTGCTAATAACAAAAGGTGATATTTAAATTTGTGTTGAAGAATTCTATGGACAAACTAACTACTATGGAGCCTAGAATAAACTAGAAATAAGGGAAATAGATTAAACACTTTTAAAAGCAAATAAATGGACAAGATTATAGAGATAACAATGACAAAAGCACTAGGGAAAGGGGGATTCAATCATGAACAAAGAGTACTAGTGAAAACCGAAAGGAAACCGATTCTAGGAGTATAAACTCTACCTAAAATAGTTCATTCTCATGCAACTACTTAAGCAAGTCGACGAAATCATTCACACCTAGATTAAATCATTCTCATGCATTCAATCAAGGGCTAGATTCTTGGGATTAGAGGTGCACACACTAACTCCAAGCATATTATAGCTCAAATCATCAACTCAAGAATAAGTCCCAATCAATAATCAATAGATATTCAAATACACATGATTTTCACCCCCTTCCCTAGCTAAAAACCTAAGCTAGAAGGAAGGGAATGGCCATAACAACTAACATAAGCATGTATTCAATACCAACACAACCTAACATGATTCTAACTTGAAAGGAAAATCAAAGAAACTAATAAAGCTTGAATATTTATGGAAATAAACTCAAGTAAGAGCAATAAAACAAAGAAGATCAAAAACTAGAGAAACAAAAGTAAAGATTGATATTATAAAGATTAAAGATTACCAAATCATCAAAGTAGTAGCAACAATCTAGAAGAAAGCTTGAATATTTGGTTACAAAGATTGAATCTTGAACACTAGTGTTTTCTCTCTCTAGAAACCATGAACTTCTCTCTCTACCAATGATTTTTGGGGCCAATGGAATAGTGGATGCTAAGAAAATCAAGGAAGGGACTATTTATAGTCTTCTACCAAAAGGAAGGAAAAAGGGCAAGGGAGAGGGCTCTCCGAACAGGCAGCCGCGCCCTCTCCAAGCTGGGTAAATAGCCTCGTAAAACCCAGAAAGCCGCGCCCGCGGGCCTAAGTGCCGCGCCCGCGGGGCTTCTCTGCCGTGCCCGCGGGGCCAATGCCGCGCCCGCGGCACATATGCTCCGCGCCCGCGGCTCGCCATCTCCACTTTCTTCTGCTGGCTTCAGACTTTTCCTGTCCGCGCCCGCGGCTTACAAGCCCGCGCCCGCGGCCCATCAGAACAGCGCGCCCTCTCCATCCTGGCATCTCCACTCCTTTTCCAAGCTCCTTTGGCATCTCCACTCGAGCTATTGATTCGTGAATCGCACATAAGCGCTGGGAGCTGTCAAAACACATAAAAAGGAGGTAAAAACTAGAAGAAAAGACAAAAAGGGGAGGAAAAATACGAGAGGGGGCTAAAGTGACTAAAATCAAGATAAAAGGGGTTAAAATAGGCATAAGCAAGTGACAAATCCGGGGGAAATCGGTAGTAAAAAGGGGTTAAAATGGTGGCATAAATGCCACGCATCAGCACCCTTCTTATCCCTAATCTCTATTTCAAAAGGTTGTAGTTCAAGCACCCAACGAATCAACCTTGGTTTGGACTCCTTCTTGGAAAAGAGATACTTGAGAGCCGCATGATCCGTGAAGACAATGGTCTTGGAACCAAACAAATAACACCGGTATTTCTTAAAAGAGTGCACAATGGCCAAGAATTCCTTTTCCGTTGTTGTGCAATTATTTTGAGCCCCATTTACCATCTTGGACATATAGGAAATCACATAAAGGTTCTTGTCCACACGTTGTCCCAAAACACCTCCAATAGCCTAATAACTAGCATCACACATCAACTCAAAGGGTAGATCCCATCTTGGGGCTTGAATAATGGGTTAGAGATTAGGGCCATCTCCAACCTATTAAATGCCTCCAAGAATTCACCATCAAACACAAATTCTAAATCTTTTCGAAGAAGATTATTAAGGGGCTTGGAAATGAGTGAGAAATCCTTGATGAATCTTCTATAGAAGCCCGCATGTCCCAAAAATGATCTCACTCCCTTGACATTCACCGGAGGTGGAAGCTTCTCAATATCCTCGATCTTGGCCTTATCCACCTCCATTCCTTTATGAGAGATTTTGTGTCCAAGCACTATTCCTTCCTCCACCATGAAGTGGCACTTCTCCCAATTCAAGAAAAGATTAACCTTCACACACCTTTCCAAACATTTCTCAAGATTCACAAGGAACTCTTCAAATGAAACCCCACCTACGGAGAAGTCATCCATAAACACCTCCATTTATTCCTCCAACATGTCTCCAAAAATGCTCATCATGCACCTTTGGAAAGTTGCGGGGGCATTACAAAGGCCAAAAGGCATTCTCCTATAAGCAAAGGTCCCATGGGGGCATTACAAAGGCCAAAAGGCATTCTCCTATAAGCAAAGGTCCCATGGGGGCATGTAAATGTTGTCTTCTCTTGATCATCGGGGTGGATTGGGATTTGGAAAAATCCTAAATAGCCATCAAGGAAGCAATAAAACTTGTGCCTTGTTACTGTCTCAAGCATTTGATCAATGAATGGAAGGGGAAAGTGATCCTTCTTGGTGGATGTATTTAGACGTCTACAGTCTATACACATCCTCCAACCGGTGACCGTCCTAGTCGGAATGAGCTCACCTCTCTCATTCTTGACTATGGTCATACCCCTCTTCTTAGGAACGACATGAACGGGAGAGTCCCACCTAGATCTTGAGATGGGGAATATGATTCCCGCATCCAAAAGCTTGGTGATCTATTTTTTCGCCACCTCTCCCATTTGAGGATGTAGCTTTCTTTGTCGTTCAATAGAAGAAAGGGTGTCTTCCTCAAGCGTTATGTGGTGTGTACACAAAGCGGGGCTTATACCCTTAAGATCATCAATAGTATAGCCCAAAGCACCTTGGTGCTTTCTCAGAACACAATATAACGCTTGAGCTTGGCTCT